AATCTGCCTGCCAAAGCAGGAGACACAAGAGACGTGAGTTCAATCCTTGGGTCGGGAAAATCCCCTAGAGAAGGAAATGGCAACCTGCTCCAGTATTCTTGCCTGGAGAATCCCATAGACAGAGAAGCCTAGTGGGCTATTGTCCACTGGGTTGCAAAGAATTGGACACGACTGAAGCAATTTAGCATGCATACACACAACACAAGAAAATACTTTCAGAATCACTATACCAAACTGTCATCTCTAATAAACCCACTCAGGAAAGTTCAGGACTTTTTAGTTCTTTCTGCTTTTATTCAGAGTGCTGTGTTCAAAAGTTAATTGTTTTCTGTGCCTATGTTATAAACACCATACTGGTTTTAGGTTGATTTTTGCTATTTGTATTCAATTTTAAGTTTTGACACTTCTTTATCTTTTGGGTTAATATTAATCTCAATTTTCAAATTCATAGAATATCTACATGCCTCAAAAATGACAATTTATATGAAAACCTATATTCAGAGAAGTCTGGCTCACATTTTAACCTTTTCCACTTGGCCATAACCTGTAACTATTTTCATTGTCGCTGTTCCCTTGCTACATCATGTCTGACTCTTTGCGACCTCATGAACTGCAGCTCACCACCTTCCCTGTCTTTCACTATTTTCATTAGTTTCTTTTTTAGCCTTCCTTTGCTTTTTCATTATCAGGATAATCAAATAGATATAATTACATTCTTATTTTCTTCTAATTCTTACACAAAATGTCACATTTTATACACAGAGAAGAAATACTTTTAAAATAGAGATTTGCTACCAACTCATTATTAATTAAAGAAGAAGAGGGACTTCCCTGGTGGTGGAGCAGTTAAACTCCCCCCACCTCCCTCCCACTTCCAATGCAGGGGAAGTGGGCTCAATCCATGGTCAGGGAACTAAGATTCCACATGCTGCCTGGCACAAGCGAAAAATAAAAAATTAAAAAATAAATTTAAACAAAAGAAGAGGGAAGCCTCCTTAGGATAACAAACTGATTCTCATACATTCCTCCTCAAGTTATTTATAAGTGTTAGTCAGTTGTATCTGACTCTTTGCGACCCCATGGACTTGTAGCCCGCCAGGATCCCCTGTTCATGGAATTCTCCAGGCAAGAATACTGGAGTTGGTTGCCATTCCCTTCGAGATCACATTTTGTTTTCTTTCACTGCAAAGCATTTTTAAGGCGTCTTTCTACTCTAGTTCAATGTACCTATGGTAGCTGCCCATTAATGGGAAACATGAGACTGGTGACAGTAAGAGGCAATCCTCTGTTTACCATGGGGGAGCCACCATTATCTACATAGTTACCTGTCTGTTCTTGTTTTAAAGTAAAAGACCTTCGCTTCCTGGAGGAAAACAAGATTGACATCAGCTAGCCAACAGGAGAACACACATCGAAGGAACCGTGCAGACAGTCATTTCTCTAGAACTGTACCTTTTTTGTCTTTTTTTTTTAAAACTCCCCCCCATCTCCTCCAGTTTTCTTCCTGATGTGAGAATAATGCTTACAGTTGTGATCACAGCCTTAGGCACATCCTACAATTACAATGTTGCTATGCTGCTTTACAAAAACAAACAAAAAGAGAGGGGGAAAAAAACCCAACAAAAAAATCATATTAAAACCAATACAGACTAGCATTTTTTTGGGGGTGGGGGGAAGAAGTAGGTCTTGCAAAGAAAGTTTTGTTACTTGCAACAAACTATATACGTAACACCTTTGTACAACCTAGAGTAACTGTTTCCAGACTGTCACCTATTTCAAGCTGTAATGTAGTGAACCACTGTGGAGAAGATAATTGTTTCCCCTGTTTGGGAGGTGAGATAGGGGAAATGTATACCTCTGCTGTGACTGTATATGAGTAAATGGAAAAGATCTATCATTTATTTAGGGACCTGTTCTGCATTCTCCCAACTCTGTACCCATTTTTCTTTTGTTTTATGAGTGTACTTTTTATGCAAACCAAAGTTAAAAAACTCCAATTTTTTTCCAGCCTTGGAACGTGAAGTAGAGTGCCCTCAAGTGGACGGATTAGTCCTTCGTCAGTGTGTGTGTTGCTGCTTGGCTTTCCAGGTGGCACAGTGGTAAAGAATTCGCCTGCCAATGCAGGAGGCGCAAGAGATGCAGGTTCGATCTCTGGGTCAGGAAGATCCCCTGGAAGAGGAAATGGCAACCCACTCCAGTACTCTTGCCTGAAACATTCCGTGGACAGAGGAGCCTTGTGGGCTACAGTTCACGGGGTCACAAAGAGTTGGACACAAGATGAGCACACACGCCATTGGAACGCCAAGAATGCTGACGTCTTCCCTATACCTTCCAGATGCTTCCTTCTTCCTAAAACCAGGAAGCATGAACACCTGAGCAGGGAATCTTAGGTGAAAATTTTAGTTCACCAGTTTCTACTCCGTTGAAGAGCTAGGTTCCCATTCTTGAAGAAACAAGCTCATGGAAGGGTGTGTTTTCTTATTATATACTAACTTCTTATACTAATTTGTACCAAAATTTCCTTGACTGACATGCCAAGTAATTATGAAGGTTTTTTTTTTTTTTCTGAGTACTGCATGAAGGCTACCAAGTTGGAACAGGCAAGTCCTGGATGTTAAAGCTTTGATTCATCTACTTCATTCATGTGTTATTTTTGCAGCTATAGTGTCTATTTTCCTATCTGATGACCACTGAAGTGTTCCCAGGCCCTGTCGTAAACCTAGGAGTTGATGTATTGGTGGGAGCAGCTGGAAGTTCAAGATCTTATTGTGATTCTTTTTTTCTTTAATCTCCCTTTTATATATGTAATATTCCTGGAGAAAGAAATGGCAACCCACTTCAGTATTCTTGCCTGGAAAATTTCATGGACAGAAGAGCCTGGTGAACTATAGTCCATGGGGTCACAAAGAATTGGCTACAACTGAGTGACTAAGCACATATATGATATTAAGCAGATGATGAAGCGCAACTCTTGAGGATTTAATAAGGAGAAAGACTCACACTTCTGGATGGAGAAGTCATTGGCCCCTGTATGAAGAACAGTGGATGGTGAATGTTCTCAAGTCTGTCTCTCTGTAACTGCACCCCCAAAATGTTTTCTGTTTTGCAGAGTTGTGCCTTTCCTTCTGGAATGGCAAGTGAATACAATAAGAGTACTGTTTACACCGTGAGATGGATATTGTCACAGAAATAACACCAGAGGCATTCTCACTTGTTAAGCCAATAATGTCTTGTGAATGTATGATCTACGGAGAAACCCCTGTAGTTTTTAACCTGCTGATGCTGTCTGTCTGTTGGGGAATAAATTTTGATGGTTCTTTTTTTCACCAAAAAAAGGTAAAAGATACATTTTACATTAATTTTTAAATTTAACCCTATGTAAAAAAGGAAACATATGTGTGTGTGTGTATATATATATATATATATATATATACGTATATATACATACACACATATATACATATTTACATAGAACATATAAAACACATCAAAATCTTTGAGCAGTTACATTATAGATGGCTATAATTCCTTACAGTTCTAGTATTTTCCAAATTTTATATAGTGAGCATGTGTCACTTTCATAGGAGATAAAATATTATTTTCAAAAAAGCTGTTTAATCTTCAGCATCTATATAAAACATGAGTAGACAATGCATGGACCTAGAACTGTCATTTCAAATGCACTGATCTCAAGTAATATGAAATCTTTTTAATGACCAGAAATATTGCAGAGCACAGACACATGGGGGCATTGTAACCAAATTTTTATAATCTCAGGGAAAAAAAAACCCAGAAACCAGAATCCAAAACAGCAAACGTAGTGTGCACTCACTGTCGGCCAGGTTCTGTGATAAGCATCTATATGTATTACCTCATTTCATCCTTACATCAACTCTATGGGATAGTACGATTATTATCCTCACTTAAGAGATCTGAGACTCCTAGCCACACAGCCACCTAAAATTGTGAAAGCATTTACCATGATCTTTTGTATATAATCAAGCTCCTACTGACAGTTGTTTGGTGATAATTCTATAGTGCGCCTCTGTGTGCGCCTATACTAAAGCCTACTTTACATTCTCAAATGATTTCCCCACTGCTGCACTCCGGTCTAAGAACAGTTACAGAGTAGAGAATGAATATTTAAACTTTTTTAGTTTTCTTTTTTAATCAGAAACAGGAAGTTTGGAAAATAGGAAAATCCCACTCTCTGTTAGCATTTTGTGACATTTTCTTCCAGTCTTTTTCTTCAATATGTATATATGTTCAAAACATCTTTTTTGATAATTGGGTAATTTGCTTTTTTCATCTATTATCACATCCATGTATTATGTATCTTTATCATATTACTATATATCTTTCAGAACCACCATTTCAGTGCTACATCATTTTCAATGAAGTAGGTATACCACAGACTATTCAATCATTTCTCTACTATTGTCTTTTCTAGGTTACAGCAAATTCTTCATGTAAGTAATTCAGCAACAAACATGTTCGTATGTATATTTCCCCTCCCTCATGTTTATGGCCCTATTCTGCAACTATTGCCTGAACACCTAATGAAAACCAAGCACTATATTAGGTTCTGGGTTTAGGACATTTTCCTCTAGGAAAGTATTTCAAGGCTGCAAAGTCTTATGTCTCAATACATACTGTCAAACTGCTTTCTAAAAGGTTAAAATCAGGTTATTCTAGATGGATTCTTTAAAAATAAGAGAAAAAACAGATGTAAAAACTTTTAGCTATTAGGTGATTGATGATTACATCCTTATGTGTTAAAGAATCAATATGAGTAGTTACAGTAGTTAGATTTGTAGATTTCAAATCACTTATGACAGGAAAAAAAATTAGTGCCAAAATTAACAATAGTTATCACTAACTGTGACTCAAAATCCAGGTACAATAAAAAAGAACACTGATAAATTCAACTACATAAAAATGGAAGTTATGGTGAACATGATGTGCTGTGCTGTGTTTAGTCACTCAGTCATGTCCAACTCTTAGTGACCCCACGGACTGTAGCCGACAAGGCTCCTTTGTCCATGGGGATTCTTCAGGCAAGAATACTGGAGTGGGTTGCCATGCCCCCCTCCAGGGGACCTTCCCAACCCAGGAATAGAACCAGGGTCTCCTGAATTGCAGGCGGATTCTTTACCAGCTGAGGTGCTAGGGAAGCCTGGCAAAAGTCAAAATACAACGATCAAACTGGCTGTTAATATTTGCAATATATATCATAGATAAACATGTTCATAAGAGAGCACTTAACAATCAAGAAAAAGGAAACCAAAGCTGTAGAAAATGTACAAGAGACACATACAGTGTTGACAATGGTATTTCAATCATCTTTAAACAAGCGAAAAGTATCTCTAGCTTCACTATTAGAGAAATGCAAATTAACCATTTGCATTAACCACTTCTCACCTATCATGTTTACAAAAATCTCAAAGTTTGGTAACATTCTGTAATTCTGTTGGTTGAAACTAGGAAAACAAATAATCTCTTCCAGTGCTAGTGGAAATAGAAAGTAACATGACTTCTGTAGAGAATCTGGCATTTTCCAATAATGCTACATTTACACTTACCTTTTTAATGCAATCAAATGATTTACTGAAGTTCTACTTAACGTTAAATCTTTCGAATTAGACATTTCCTTTTAAACACAGCAGACCATTGATCAAAACAGCTAATTTCATCCAATTGGGTGTACTTACGTTTTAGTCTAGCAGTCTCACCTATAGGAATCTTCCCCAAAGATACACAACCATAAATCTGAAACAACATATATGGAAGGTTATTGATGGTGGCATTATTTGTAATAGCAAAATAAAAATACACTTCATGCTCTTCCATTAGAGACGGGTTAAAAAAAAAAAAAAAGGTATATTCCCAGAGTGAAATACTACTCAGCCAAACAAAAGAATGAAAAAGGGAATGCCAAAAAGGAATGCCAAAGGGAAATTAGAAGGGCTGAGTAGCAACTAGTGCACTTGAGGCCCAGATCTTGGTTTGTAAAGGTAATACCTCACTGAAGGGAACCAGAGTGCCTTGGAAAAATGGCTGTTCAGATCTGGGGCAGGTAAAGTAGAGGCAGGCCTGAAATATCTCATGCCAGAGAGTAAACAAAGAACTCAAAAGCTGATGGAGATAGGTCAAAAGGTTACAGTAGTGGCTTAAAGGGACTCACTGGCCAACTCGGAGACAATCTGGGCAGCAAAAAAGAATACAGATGACAAAGGATTATAATACACTGAATAAACAAAAATAAAATTCTAAGTCCATAGTGATATTAAAAATATAAGAAGATGAAAAGGAAAGTAAAGGTGTGGAATGGGGCAAGTTCTCTTATAGAGAAAAATGTCAAGGGCATGGTAGAATTGGAAAGCCACTATTTTACAACTGCCAAGTAGTAACTATTAAAAGTCTTGAGTATAACACTCAACTTATGTGTATAGTAAGATCATAAGATGATTCCCTGAAATATATTCTGGCTTTATCTGTGATCTAGGATTAAAAGACTTTGAAATGGAAAACCTTGACCAGATAAGGGAAAGCTATGGAATCCCTACTTTAGCATGCTTTTTCCTTCTCCCCAAAGCTGAAAACTGCTTACAAGTACAGTCCTCAGTGTCCTGACCTTGAATTCTTTCCATCTTTTCTTATGTGGCTACAAGGTGTAATGGAACTACCCACTAAAAGAGGCTTCATCAGTAATGAAACTGAAAGACAATTGTCAAATTGTAAGTTTGATATATACTTGCACATATAATTGATGTATATATAAGCAATAAACATCATAAAGTCTCATGTTCCTGATATAAGTATTATGTTGTTTATATATTGTTATTTATGTGTTGTTAAAGCTGTAGAGGGAAAAGATTCTGTTTAGCTTGCTGAGCCAAATAAAGCATCCCATTTCCAGTCTAAAGCATGGATATTCTAAGGCAAGTAAAACCTCCCAACATCCACCGGATTTCTAACAGACCAGGCTGGAAGGAGAAGTCTATAATAATGTTGCTTCAATTCAGGGTAGGGTCTCCACAGGCCACATATCCACTTCATTCTATTGTGTCTGGTCAGACCAGTGTACACCTGTTGACCTTGTGTAAATGTTTATGGTACTCCCTTTCACTCTTAAAAGTGTCTAAGTTTGGGTCATATTTGGTTGCCCTACTTCAAGGAGACTCCTGACACTCCTTAGGGAAAACCTCACTTGGCTGAGGTTGAAAGGTAAATGTCAAGTGAGAGAGACAGAGATGCAAGTAAAGACTCTGCAGTGTGGTAGGCAGAATAATGGCCCCCCACAGATACCCTGGTGCTAGTACCTGGAACTGTGAATATGTTACTTTACAGGATAAAAAGGAAAATATGATTAAATTAAGTATGCTGAGATGAGGCGATTATCCTGGATTATCCAGGTGAGCCTAATCTAATTACAAGGATCCTTATAATTGGAGGAATTCCCTGCTGAATTCATAGTTAGATGTGACTACAGAGGAATGCTCAGAGGTGCAACATTTCCTGGCTTTGAAGATGAACTAAGGGGACCACAGTGCAAGGAGTGTGGGCAGCCTCTAGTGGCTAGAAAAAGAAAGGAAACAGATTCTTCCCTAGAGCCTGGAAAGAAATACAGACCTGCCTAAAGAACTATAAAATAATAAATTTATATTGTTTCCAGCCATTAGTTGTGTGGTAATTTGTTACCATAGCAAGAGGAAACTAATACATGGAACTGACAGCATTTCTAGTGAGGACTGAAGGATCCAACAAGCCATTCATTCATCTAACACATGTTTAAATCCTTCTATATGCCTGACCCAATGTTGAATAAGATGGACTTCTTAAAGAGTTTACAGCTCTGGAGGAAGACAATCACTGAAACATGTAACTAAGATTGGTATGAGCTAGTGATAAAGAATCCACCTGCCAATGCAGGAGATACAAGTGACATGGATTTGATCTCTGGGTCAGGAAGATCCCCTGGAGGAGGGCAAGGCAACCCACTCCAGTATTCTTTAACCCACTCCAGTATTCTTGCGTGGAGAATCCCATGGAGCCTTGGGGGCTACAGTCCATAGGGTCACAGAGAGTCGGACACGACAGAAGCAACTTAGCACATACACACGAGTGTTCTAAAAGGGTCAGCAGGGGGCGGCGTGAAACTTCTGAGCACAGGGGAGTAAACCAGGATATACAGACATGGGTGGAAGGCAGCCCCGTTTGAAGATATGGCATGTTTGGCCTGGGTGAAAGTTCAGGCAGGGGTTTCAAAGCATACGCATTAACGCAGTAAATAGCCAGCAGTATCGTTTGGCTGGACCATAAATAGATGGGAAAGGGTAACAGAAGTGGAATTTGGGTCAACTGGTAAAGGGCCATTCAGACTAAGAGTTTGGACTTAATCCTTCAAGCAATGGGAAGATATTTTTAAATACAGTTTTAAAGCAGGGAAGGGGACATAGTCAGATTTGTATTTTATAGAGATACATCTGGTATAAGCTCCACTAGTACAGAGAACAAATTTGTTTTTGTTCACTCCCACAGGCACTTGTATAATCAGAACATGCTAAGTTAAGCTGTGGTGACAAATACCCCCAAAGTTTCAGCACCTTAAAACAAAAGTTTATTTCTTTCCCATGCTACATAGATCAGCGTTGGTCTCTGCTTATTCAGGGGTCCCTGCCATTCAGGGGTGCAGGTCAATGCAGTTACCACGATTTTAAATGTTGCCTGCTGCTAAGCAAGAGGGAAAAAGAGTTCTGGAGCACCTCAAAGCAGCAATTAAAGGCTGTGTCTGAGAGTGACAGGGGTCACCTCTATTCACACCTCATGGATTAGGACCAGGAAGTATAATCCCACTATCAACTGGGGAGGGTTAAAACCGGCAGCATTTGCTGATGATTTTTATTAATGATTAAAGCTATGGTTTTTCCAGTAGTTATGTACAGATGTGAGAAATGGACCATAAAGAAGGCTGAGCAACGAAGAATTGATGCTTTCGAATTGTGGTGCTGTAGAAGACTCTTGAGAGCCCCTTGGGCTGCAAGGAGATCAAACCAGTCAATCCAAGATGAATCAACCCTGAAAATTCATTGGAAGGACTTATACTAAAGCTGAAGCTGCAATACTTTGGCCACCTGATGGGAAGAGCCAACTTATTGGAAAAGACCTTAATACTCAGAAAGATTGAAGGCAGGAGGAGAAGGGGAGGACAGAGGATGAGATGTTTAGATAGCATCACTGATTCAATGGATATGAATTTGACCTTTGACCAAATTCCAGGAGACAGCGGTGGACAGAGGAGCCTGGTGTGCTACAGTCCATGGGGTCATAGAATTGGACACAACTTAGCCACTGAACAACAAAATATTTATTAATTGAACAAATAAATCAATTCAAAAGACTAAGAGGTCATCTGATGAAGTCTCATCTAGTAGAAAGAGAACAGGGAAGCAGCAGCAGAGGAGAGTCACTGAGTAATCAGATGTGCAGGGGAGCAGTCTGACTACCAGATTTTCAGTCTGGGTCAGTGGAGGAAGGGTGCTGCCAATTAAAAAGAAAAAAGTGAGATGAGAAGGTGTAAATTTGGATTCGTGCCTAGGTGTGTGATTGGTAGAGCACAGCTGAGACGCCTACATTTTGACCTTACCTTTTGCAGTCTTGGCTTCAGGCCTAATTTAGCTCAGGATACTAGGCTCTTGGTATCGAGGTGGTAGAGCCCTAGCTAGAAAGCAAAATTGGTCCCTGCCCTGAGGAGGATGGTTAGTCCCCACCATAGGTAAAGAGCATGTAAGGAACTTTACACGAATTCCCTCAAAACATTGCACGAGGAAGCTATGATTCGGTTCCTTTTACAGTGAGGAGATTAGAAGACTACCTAGAATCCAACTCTGATGTGATATCCTGTGCAAGTTCACCTCTCCAAGCCTTGGGTCCTTCAGCTTTAAAATACTACTTACAACGAGAGTGGTAAGGATTGGAGGCTGGTAGGAGGACCGAAGAGTTGGAAGAAGGCCGGACCAACCAAACACAGTGCCCAACCTCCCCCGTCACACCTGCCGGGGCGACGAACCAGAGGTGGGCCGGGGACTAAGCCCAGCTCCGGGTCTTGCAGTGAGAAGACATTGAGATGACATCATGCCACAGACACCTGGAGCCGCCCAGGCGCCGAGGAAAAACTAGACCCCGCCCCCGGGCCGCGCGATGTACTGACGTCACACAATTCCCCGCCCCCGCCGGCTCTGACGTTGTTCCGCTGGGGTTCTCTGCTCCAAAGATCTCCAAAGCCAGTTTGCTAGAGGAACAAGCGGGATGTTTGCATGGAGTCAGTGTGACATCGGTTTGTAGCAATCCATGGCTTTGACCTCCTTATCCGGACATATCTGGACCGAGGAACATCTTGGCTGGTGGTTGCATTGAGACAGCACGCTGTAATGATTGGGTAGTTCCCCAGAGCAATTGTAGGTGCTACCGCTCTGGAGGGGTAATGGAAGAACAAGACCTTTAATCCAAACTTCTTTGAGTTGTAGACAAGTGTTATCTCTTCTTCTCATTTCTCATTCTCTCTTCAACTCATTTCATCTGTTAAAGATTATGTTTGATAGGTGAAGTGAGTGAAAGTCGCTCAGTCGTGTCCGACTCTTTGCGACCCAATGGACTGTACAGATGGAATTCTCCAGGCCAGAATACTAGAGTGGGTAGCCGTTTCCTTCTCCAGGGGGTCTTCCCAACCCAGGGATTGAACCCAGGTCTCCCACATTGCAGGCGGATTCTTTACCAGCTGAGCTACCAGGGAAGCCAAAATGAAACCCTCAAGGAGTGGCCCTGGTGGAACGTGAAAGCCCACAAATGTATTTGCATGCAAATATATAAATATAAAATGAAAATGTGTCACGAGTTTAATTCCTTAGTGAGGAAGACGCCAGACGTTGCAAAGAACATAAATAGTCTATATTCTGAAATGAATTTACAGCTCTCCCTCCCCTTCTTCCCCTTCATCCAGTGGATCAGCAAGTTCTTTTGACTCCATTTACAAAACTGCATTCAACTCTCCGTTGTCACAAACACCATTTTAGTCTGAGCTGAAATTATCTGTGGATCACCTTCCAATGGGCCTCACTCCCTCTCTGATCCATTCTCTACAGGCTTCTAAAAGGGTTCGTTTTAAAAAAGCAAACAAAAAATGACAAAAAGTATAATCTATATTATCTTGCTCCCTTTCTTACAATCTGCTAATGGCTTCTTTGCTTGGAGATTAAAATTCACCTATGCTTGCTTACAAAGAACTACATGATCTATGGGTGCCTGTTCACCTACCTCATCTACCACTTTCTGTCTCCCTTGCTGTGCTGCGGAGCCCTCTGGCTGGAATGATCTTTCTTCTAAATTTCACTTTATTGCCTCTTAAAAAAATCTTCAGGTCTCAGTTTGAGAATAGCCTACACAGAGAAGCCTTCCTAGGCCCTCCATTCTAAAGTGGCCACTCAATCATATATCTAAGATTTTAAATCTCTATAGAGCCTTAATCACTTTGATACATGACACTCATTTTTTATTGTTCATCTCCCCACTCCCCAGTTAAGATCCAAGCATGTAAATTCAGCCTAAAAAGCACTTATCTATACTAGGTACTGATGTATTTTCAGCTTGCAGAACACAATGAGTTCAGCATGTTATTCATACCCTGGTTGGAGTTTAATCATTTAAGTGGTTAATTGTCATAACAGAAATTTCAGAAATTATTTAAAAACAAGTGTTTCATGAGATGTTTACAAAATGTATCTGGTTATGTTAGGTGAAAAATACTTTGGATTAAAGAAAAATGGTGTCAAAAATATTTTATGGGCTTGATGTCCAAAGAATTATTATCAAAGATTTTCTTTTCAAAAATACTAGCAGTTTTTTGTTTTTTAAATGCATAGATGAATTGCAATTTAGTGAAAGAAATTTGATTTAATAATTTAAGATACTTGGAATGAAACTAAAAAAACAGACTTTTTTTTGCACATATCTTTGGGCAAACTCTCTGTAGGATACTTGTTCTTCATTTGCTAAGTCATGTCCAACTCTTTGCGTCCCCATGGACTGCAGCCCACCAGGTTCCTCTGTCCATGGGATTTTCCAGGCAAAAATATTGGAGTGGGTTACCATTTCTTTCTCCAGGGGATCTTCCCAACCTGGGAATCGAAACTGCATCTCCTGCATTGGCAGGCAGATTCTTTTACCAGAGTCATCAGGGAAGCCCATGTAGGATACTGGAGAATTTCAAACAAAACCTGAAGAGGTGACACTTGAGTCTGGACTTTCAATATGAGTAGACTGAGAATATGAGTAGGTGACAAGGAGAGAAACTGGCACTTAAGGCAGAGGTGTAAATTTCTAACTGAGCAGGACCCTATGGGGCCTTCCAAGGACACACCCCTTCTCCATTTTGTCTGCTTTAGTTCCTTTCTGCTTTAGTACCTAGGTAATAGTATCTGATGCACATTTCCTGTGTTGTTTTACCTATGCGAAAACCCCCACCAAGTGGAAGAAACTACTTGATTATCATAAGAACATGGCCCCCAGGCCTACCAGAGCCTAAGGATCGTAATAGTAACTCCTGTGACACCACCCTGCTACCTCACTATCAACCAATCAGAGAACTGTGCATGAGCTGAACACACGAGGATGGCCCTCCCTCACCAGGCTTTTGAAAGTGTTTTGCGGAAACCTGTGGGGAATTGTGACTTTTTGAGCACTAGCTGTCCTGGACCGCTTATACAGCACCCTACAATAAATGCTGGAGTTCCCTTCACCACAACCTAGTGTCAGTAGATTGGCCCATGGACTCAAATTTGGTTTGATGACAAGTTCTATTTGGAAGCAGAATATAAATGAAATTAGCTGAAAGGATAGCCAGGAGTCATAGTATCAAGGAACTTAAAGTGTGGGTCTTATTCTATGGGGAAGCCAACAGAGATTTTAAATGGAGTTGTGACATGGTCCTCTGTTGTTCAGTCAGTTCAGTTCAATCACTCAGTCGTGTCCAGCTCTTTGCAACCCCATGGACTGCAGCACCTCAGGCTTCCCTGTCCATCACCAACTCCCGGAGCTTGCTCAAACTCATGTTCATGGAGTCAGTGATGCCATCCCACCATCTCATTGTCTGTCGTGCCCTTCTCCCCCTGCCTTCAATCTTTCCCAGCATCAGGGTCTTTTTCAATGAGTCTGTTCTTCGCATCAGGTGGCCAAAGTATTGGAGTTTCAGCTTCAGCATCAGTCCTTCCAATGAATATTCGGGACTGATCTTCTTTAGGATGGACTGGTTGGATCTCCTTGCAGTCCAAGGGACTCTCAAGAGTCTTCTCCAACACCACAGTTCAAAAGCATCAATTCTTCAATACTCAGCTTACTGTATCAATTCTTCAATACTCAGCTTACTGTATGGTCCAACTCTCACATCCATACATGACTACTGGAAAAACCATAGCTTTAACTACTCGGACCTTTGTTGGGAAAGTAATGTCTCTGCTTTTAAATATGTTGCCTAGGTTAGTCATAGCTTTTCTTCCAAGGAGTAAGCATTTTTTAATTTCATGGCTGCAGTCACCATCTGCAGTGATTTTGGAGTCCAAGAAAATAAAGTCTGTCACTGTTTCCATTGTTTCCCCATCTATTTGCCATGAAGTAATGGAACTGGATGCCATGATTTTAGTTTTCTGAATGTTGAGTTTTAAGCCAGCTTTTAAACTCTCCTCTTTCACTGTCATCAAGAAGCTCTTTAGTTCTTCTCCGCTTCTGCCATAAAGGTGGTGTCATCTGCATATCTGAGGTTATTGATATTTCTCCTGGCAATTTTGATTCCAGCTTCTGCTTCATCCAGCCTGGCATTTTGCCTGATGTACCCTGCATAGAACTTAAAGGTGACAATATACAACTTTGACGTACGCCTTTCCCAATTTGGAACCAGTCTGTTGTTCCATGTCAAGTTCTAACTGTTGCTTCTTGACCTGCATACAGATTTCTTAGGAGGCAGGTCAGGTGGTCTGGTATTCCCATCTCTTGAAGAATTTTCCACAGTTTGTTGTGATCCACACAGTCAAAGGCTTTGGCGTAGTCAATAAAGCAGAAGTAGATGTTTTCCTGGAACTCTCTTGCTTTTTTGATGATCCAATGGATATTGACAATTTGATCTCTGGTTCCTCTGCCTTTTCTAAAACCAGCTTGAACATCTGGAAGTTCACGCTTCACATACTGTTGAAGCCTGGCTTGGGGAATTTTGAGCATTACTTTGCTAGCGTGTGAGATGAGTGCAATTATGCAGTAGTTTGAGCATTCTATTGAATTGGAATGAAAACTGACCTTTTCCAGTCCCATGGCCAGTGCTGAGTTTTCCAAATTTGCTGGCATATTGAGTGAAGCACTTTCACAGCATCATCTTTTAGGACTGAAATAGCTCAACTGGAATTCCATCACCTCCAGTAGCTTTGTTCATGGTGATGCTTCCTAAGGCCCATTTGACTTCCAGGATGTCTGGCTCTAGGTGAGTGATCACACCATTGTGGTTATCTGGGTCATTAAGATCTTTTTTATAGAGTTGTTCTATGTATTCTTGCTATCTCTTCTTAATATCTTCTACTTCTGTTAGGTCCATACCATTTCTGTCCTTTATTGTACTCATCTTTGCATGAAATATTCCCTTGGTGTATCTAATTTTCTTGAAGAGATCTCTAGTCTTTCCCATTCTATTGTTTTCCTCTATTTCTTTGCATTGATTGCTGAGGAAGGCTTTCTTATCTCTCCTTGCAATTCTTTGGAACTCTGCAGTCAAATGGATATATCTTTCCTTTTCTCCCTTGCCTTTAGCGTCTCTTCTTTTCTCAGCTATTTGTAAAGCCTCCTCAGACAACCATTTTGCCTTTTTGCATTTCTTTTTCTTGGGGATGGTCTTGATCCCTGCCTCCTGTACAGTGTCATGAACAGTGTCCATAGTTCTTCAGGCTCTCTTTCTATCAGATCTAATCCCTTGGCTCTATTTGTCACTTCCACTGTATAATGGTAAGGGATTTAATTTAGGTTGTATCTGAGTGATCTAGTGGTTTTCCTTACTTTCTTCAATTTCAGTCTGAATGTGGCAATAAGCAGTTCATGATCT